ATGTTAATGCTATTTTTATAGAATTATTTTCAATCACTGATATTAAATCTATGAAAGATATTGCAAAAACCAGAATAGCAGTGATACTAAAACACAAAATGACTGTGTTACTATAATGAAAGATGGCAGAAAAGTATAAAATAATTCAAAGTATATCAAAAGCCACAAACATGTACAGAATAGTGGACTCGGGATAAACTGGAGCAGGCATCTAATTTTTGTCTCCATTCAGGCCTGATAAAGAGCTGTATTCTCCTTTGCCTCCCCCAGAGAGCCGATAGGAAGGACATGACATTCTGAATTGTAGGGTCAAGCCAATGAAAATTAGCTACAGCCCAATCTTAGGTTCCTATAATACGTTAGAGAAGTCCTTAAAACACTAGCTGGGTTGCCAGTCTAATTCTTAAAGCCCAAAGTCAATAATCAATACAAGGCTTATGAATAGGAAACATGGACTAGAAAAAACAAACAACAACAAATTTACAAATATGCTGTGATTGCAACAACCAGGTTAATGGTCTGAATGAGAATTCAGACAACTAACAAAAAGTGAAAATAATAATTGCACATATAACAAAGAACATAAGAAATCAGCCACATAATAAGCTACGAAAAGCACAAGGATGGGGGTGAAAATACCATACTGATGGAAAACGATGAACATATCACATGCTGAAGCACAAGAAACCCTTGGCAAACACAAAAGCTGGCAGAGGTCACAGAACATAAAGACAGATATTAAAGAACCCTGAGGTCAGTGGGTTGGCTTGGCAGACAAAGAACCCACAGCACAATCTGATGACTTGCAGTGGATCCTGCACACTGGTCCAGTGCACAGAAAGAGACTGTGATCTCTATCTGCATAGTGAGTCTACATACAAACAATAAACCAGTCAATCAGTGTACTAAAGAACATCAAGGAGACTGTAAAAGATTTATTGCACACAGCACAAAGAATAAAAAAAATAGAAAACAAAGCTAGTATGATGATATGAAGAAATATCTTGATGCCACTAAAAACAATTAACTTAAGAATTAATGCCTGAGTGATGCCTAGGAAGACACACACACACACACACACACACACACACACACACACACACACACCCATAAGAATGATGGAAATGACAAACACAATCCAGGGTTTTAAAGTGAAATTTAATAAGGAGAAAAATTGATGAGGACCCTGGCTGAGATGACGATGGAACTGAAAAGCCCATAATCTAACTAAAAAATTCAAAGGAAAAACTTACAATTGAATAAATTAAGCATAAGATGGATATCAGAAGTTAGAGACTGGGTAGATGATCTAAATGAAATAAGCTAAGAATATGAAATTTAAAAAAAAACCACTGGAAGAAAACACAAAGGAAATTTTAGACACTATGAGAAAACCAAACTTTAAAATATAGGCACATATGAGAAGAATCCCCGGGCAATGTATAGAACAGATCCTCAACAAGATCATAAAATAAACCTTCCCAAACTAAGAAAAGACACAGCCATAAAAGTATAAGAAGCACACAGAAAACTAATTGGAGAAGACCAGAAAAGAACAACCTCATAGAATACTTGTTAGTATTTAGGCAGCCTGCTTCTGGGTTGCTTAGCAACTTATGATGTCATCATGGGTCACAAGCCAGGGAGCCAGCCACACCGCCAGGCCTGGTTCAGTTGCTCCATAAAAGGATCAATCCGCCACTTTTTAGCTCTCTTGCCTTCTTGCTCTTGTTCTCTCAGTCTCTCCCTCTTTGTCCTGGCACTCCTTCCACCCAGCAAGTGTTTCTCTCCTACTCCTTCTCTCTCTCCCTTCTACCCTGCCCCGAGACAGTCTGTGACACCTTCCCCTTCCCTTAATAAACCTCCTACGTGGACCAGTTGCATGGTGTGATTCATGAACCCACCATATAACTCCGCCACACAATCCTAACAATACTGAAATCTGCAAGTGAAAGAACACATTTATTATAAGACACCTGAGCCTGGAGAAATGCATTTCAAATCCTAAAAGACCAGACACCAAACCTAAGTTACTATTCACAGCCAAACTATCTGCAGTAGATGACAAAGAACAAATAACTATCTACAATATAAAGAGCATATATATATCCTATAAACCAAACCTAAAAAGAGGGATGAGCACAGCCAAGAGAAAGAAACAGGAAGCCAAAATTACTAAAAGGCAAAAGGCTATCAGGAACACAGCAGCACCAACAATCAGCAACTGTGACAATTAACACTTATTTATCAGAACAATCAATGCCCTCACTTCTCCATTAAAACGACACAGGCTGGGAGAATGGATCAAAAAACTAAATCTTTCTGTTGTCTACAAGAAACTCATCTAAGAGATGTCTTCTATGGAATAGGACAGATTTTCAAAATATTCCTTCAACATAGCCTGAGAATGTCTTTGGTATCTGTTGTAATGCCTCCCTGTTCATTTTTGATCCTGATCATATTTGGATGCTCTTTCTTTTGGTTAGTTCGGCCAAGTGTCTCTCAATCTTGTTTACCATCTCTAGGAACTTGTTGTGAATTTCTTGGTTCTTTGAGTCTTTTTTTAAATTTTTATTTCATTAATTCCCACTCTGATTAGTAGTTTGTCTTGCACCATGAGGCCATAGCAGAAAATAACAGACAAATATGCAAACATAATGAACATTCCCTTCAAGTACTGAAAAACAGTCAAGCAATGCAAAGTGGAGAAACCTTCTTTTCTGGTAAATGCAAATAAAATTTTAATTAGTAACACATGATGTCATTAAGAAAAAGATGTGCTTGAAAAATCGTAAAATTAAATTTCAAATACAGGGGCTGGAGAGATGGCTCAGTGGTTAAGAGCACTGTCGGTTCTTCCAAAGGACCCAGGTTCGATTCCCAGCACCCACATGGCAGCTCACAACTGTCTGTACCTCCAGTTCCAGGTGATCTGACACCCTCATACCAATGCACATAAAATAAAGTTAAATAAATTACAAAAAATTTCAAATACACTCAATAGAACTTATGTAAGCACATGTGTAAGTTTTGAAAGTTAACAAGATGACAGCTGGATGGATTTCTGTCAAAATGGGGTGCTCAGAAGTGAGAGGAATAATAAAAAGTAATCTCTGTACCCAGTCTACACACAATAAATTGTTTTTAAGAATCTTTTTAAAAAACACAGGGTCTCATGTAGTCTAGGCTCACCTTGAATTGGCTATGAAACAGAGGATGACTCTAGACTCTGGCTTCCTCCCAAAACACAGCGATTTCAGGTATGAACAATAGAATAGGCTTAACTTCACTTGTCAATCATATTTACTTCAGTATATATTTGGGACCTGTAAGCAGCATACATGAGCATGGTGCTGTATCATCTTTCTATTGAAAGAAAGCTGTTTTGCTATACAAAGCAGTGTGCTTTTCCCATTTCATGTTATTATTTTTCCCACAGATTAATAACCTTAATGTTATTAAGGTGTCTATTATTTTAAACATGTTTGGAAACTCACTGAAAATTCTGGTATATAGGACAAAAGGGGGTATGAAGCCCATGCTTCCTAAGAGTGGACTTCAATGTCATAAGCCAGTCTTCAGCTTACAAACACTTGGTTTGACTGAAGAGAACAGTATATGCAAGATCACTTAAGAAAGGGGGAGGGACTCCAGAGAAAAAATCCTGGAAAGAGGCTGTGTCTGGCTGCGAGCTGAAAACTCTTGCCCGGAGTCTGTGTCTGCAGAGACAGATGGCCCATGTGGATGTTCAGTGCTGTGCACCCCAGCCCCATACCCCGTCTCATAGTTACATGCCTCTCTAGGGTACCCACCAATGTATTTTAAACTTGACTGGTGAGTTCTTTTGCTCTGTAAAAATATGAAACTGCTTCCATGGTGGAGCATGAAATTTGGGATAAGTTAAAATCTGTGTTCCTGGGTCATGGTCACTCAAATGGCTCCCGACTAAACTATCTCTTAGTCCCTTGAAGATGAGACCTGTAGTTTTCACAAGGAAGATACAATGTACAAATCACAGGAACTTGAGTGTTCCACAGCTTTCCAAATTCATCTTATATTCTTTCTAATGTAGTACAAAAAGTTGGGCAAATCTTCTAGCACTACTCAGGGACCATCACTGAACCTGGATGCCACATTCAGTGACAGAGTACATTTAAGAGAGTTCGGGCCCTGCTGAGAATGTAAACAGATAGAAAACCATGTGATGAGAACAGTGTATAGAGCCTGTCTGGTCAGCAGAGTCAGTTCTCCACGTCCAGCATTAACCAAGTCATCTCTGAAAGGAGTCCAAATTTCTTACATTCCACAGTCTCAAACGGAACTGATGAAGTATTACTCTCAAGTATTTTTTTTCAGTCTGCAGTGTAAGATCCATAATTAGGTGGATTGTGCAAAGACAGTTTCATACCAATTAGCAGATTATTCTGTGGGTATCCAGGGGTTAGTGTGGTGATTCACGTCACAGAGGTGTACACTAGGGATTCTAATTCAAGAGGAGGCATCCATAATTCTAACAATTCATTCCAAATGAAAACGAACTAACATCCCATACAACAATTGCCATCACAGGACTCGCTGTCCCTGGAAACTAGGAGCTTGAGGAACCTCTACGAGCTCAAACCAGGAGGAGTAACAGGCAGGACAAGAAGTATAGGAGAGGCTAGATGTCTGTATGTTCTTGGAGTCTTGACAAATCTGACTACAGCAATGTGAGCCTGGATCTGCCAGGTAAAGCACTTTCCCAGCAAAAACTGAGTGAGCTCCCTCCAGCTACTCAGGCAAAGGCAGCCAGCATATCCAGTCAGGCCTTGCAATCCTGTTGTTTCAAACCTTTCCTCAGGGGTGTTTCCCGGGGGCAGTCGCCCAGCCTAGGTCAGCACAGCACCTCTAAATTCTGCTTCCCGGTCTCCCAACAAGCCCAAATCAGCTTCCTTCGCGCCCGACCCGCCACTGTGCACAGTAGCTCATATCTGCAGGACGCTGCAGCTCCCTGCACTAACCTCCATGTCAGAGATCCAAGCCCAGCGCAGAACAGGACACTCGCCTAACTTTGGGGAAAAGCGAAGTATGAAGATTATAGTCAAAGCGGAAGCTCGATAGCCACAGCGCCTTCTGGTGATGTAACAGTAGTCGGGACTACATTTCCCACAGGTCAGTGCGAACAACTTCTAGGAATCCAGAGAGGAGGGTTTGTAACGTGCTTGGGTTCCCGTCCAACTGAGCAGGTGCAGTTGGAAGGAAACAGGCTGCAGCTCTGGGACAGCCACAAGGGTTTAGTTTTAAAGACCTGCGGTCCCAGCACCCGATTTAACCTGTGAGTTGCACCGTTCACAGTAACGTTTATCACGTTCCCCAGTTATTTCTGATAAAAGGTGGTGATTTTAAAGCTCAGGTCTACTTATTATAAGATTGATCTCTTTTTGTTAAAAACATGGAAGTAGAAAACTAATGTAAGACTGTGCATCATGTCTTATGATTATTGAAACCGTCTTGGATGACCCTGCCCAGTATCTCAGGAGCTTCAGACAGTGCAGAAAAAGGCCAAAGCGGACAATTTATAGACGTTTTATCTAAATGCATGGAGAAAATGTAGAGGGAGCTAGCTTAGGGTAAAAGCACTTGGCTGTAATATACGTGGCTTTGGTTTATAACCAGTAATACAAATGATAAACAAATAAACAAAAAGTAAATAATTTTGTTGTCCAGTGCTGACACACTGAGTGAGCCACGCTTGAATCAGACTCCATAGGTAGAAACAGGGTTCATGTGATTACTGGAATCTACACAATGAAGGGCATGGGTCAGGGCCACGGGGGTGTTTCAGATCATTGAACAAAGTTAAAAGGACAGGTCTCTGACGCTTGCTTGGAATGAACTTCTCGTATCCAGATCTGTGTAGGCAATTTAGTTTTTGTGTTTACTCCAGCACCACTTCAGCTGCTTCTCCCTGGCTTTTTACAAACTTAACCAAGTAGTCACCAGCGGGACATGTTTTACTACTCTGCAACTCTCTCACGAGGAGGGGCAGAGCCCCTGGGATCACATTGGTGAGTGTACTGACTCTTGGTCCACTGTGCATTACAGGATATTTCCCTCTGCTTTAGGGTTCATGTTCCTTATTGAATTTCTTGTCTTGCCTCTGATCCTGTCAGTGTTCAAAATTGACACTATTTGAACATCAATGGTATCTGCCTTGAACTTCCAATTTTGTGGAATACAAGCATTTGAAGCAAGAGCTGATCATTCTTTGGATTTCCTCAGTGTCTGTTGTTATGTCCCCCTTTTAATTTCTGAGTTTTTAATTTGGGTACTGTCTGTCTGTCTTTTAGTTAGTTTGGCTAGCGGTTTGTCTATTTTGTTTATTTTCTCAAAGAACCAACTCTTGGTTTTGTTGGTTTTTTTTTTAAATAATTATTTTAATTTTATTTTATGTGCATAAGAGTGAAGTTGTCAGATGCCTTGGAATTGACATTACAGATAGCTGTGAGCTGCCATGTGTGTGCTGGGAATTAAACCCACAACTTTTGGAAGAGCAGAAAATGCTCTTAACCACTGAGCCTTTTCTCCAGCTCCTTGTTGAGTCTTTGTATTACACTTTTATTATTATTATTTATTGATTTCAGCCCTGAGTTTATTTCATGTCATCTACTCCTCTTGGGTGTGTTTGCTTCTTCTTTTTTTCTAAAGCTTTCAGGTGATCTGTTAAGTTGCTAATATAGGGTCTCTTCAGTTTCTTTATAAAGGCACTTAGTACTATGAATTTTCCTCATAGCACTGCTATCATGGTTTCCCGGAAGTTTGTGTAAGTTGTGCTCCCATTTTCATTGAATTCTAGGAAGTTTTTGTTTCTTTGTTTCTTCTCTCACCCAGTGATCATTTAGCAGGGAGAGGTTCAGTTTCCATGAGTGTGTGGGATTTTAACACTGTCGTTGCTATTGAGGTCTAGCTTTATTCCACAATGATGTGATAAAGAACACTGGGTTAATTCAATTTTCATGTATCAGTTGAGGTTTGTCTTGTGACTGACTATATATGGTCAATTTTAGAGAAGGTTTCATGTGGTGTTGAGAAAAAGGTATAGTGTTTTGTGTTTGGTTGAAAAGTTCTGTCTGGCCCTTTATTCTAAGGTAGTGTTTGTCTTTGTTGCAGAGGTGTGTTTTTGGAATTCAGCAGAATGTTGGATCCTGTTTCTGCAACCATTCTGTTAGACTGTGTCTTTTTATTGGAGAGTTGAGTCCATTGATGTTGATAGATATTAGTGACCAATGATTATTAATTCCTTTTATTGTTGTGTTGGTGATGATAGTGTTTGTGTGCTTGTTTTCTTTTGGTTTTGCTGGTGTGAAGTTATCTATATCCTGTGTTTTTGGGGTGTAGTTGACCTCTTTTGGTTGGAGTTTTCCTTCTAGTATCTTCTGTAGGGCTGGGTTGGTGCACAGATAGTGTTTAAATTTAGTTTTGTCATCGAATATCTTGTTTTCTCCATCCATGATGATTCAAAGTTTTTCTGGGTATTGTAGTCTTTGCTGGTATTTATGGTCTCTTAGTGTCTGCATGACATCTGCCCAGGCTTTTCTGGCCTTCTTAGTCTCTGTTGAGAAGTCAGGTGTGATTCTGATAGGTCTACCTTTATATGTTTCTTGGACTTTTTCTCTTGCTGCTTTTAATATTTTTCTTTGGTCTGTAGATTTAGTGTTTTGGCTATTATGTGGCAGGAGGAATTTCTTTTTCTGCTCTAGTCTGTTTGGTGTTCTGTAAGCCTCTTGTATGTTTAATGGCATCTCTTTCTTTAGGTGGGGAAATTTTCTTCTCTGATTCTTTTGAAAATATTTTCTAGTCCTTGAGTCTGGAATCTTTGTTTTCATCTATTCCTATTATATTTAGGTTTCATCTTTTCATGGTGTCCTTGATTTCTTGGATGTTTTGTGTCAGGAATTCTTATGTTTTAATATTTTCTCGGAGAGATATATTAATTTCTTCAATTGTATCTTGAACACTTGTGATTCTTTCCTCCATCTCTTGTATTTTGTTAGTGACATTTACCTCTGTGGTTTCTGATCTCTTCTCTAAGTTTTTCATCTCCAGGGTTTTCTCAGTTTGTGTTTTCTTTATTGATTCTGTTTTCTGTTTTCAGGTGTTGAAGAGTTTTATTAATTTCTTTCACTTGTTTGATTATGGTTTTCTGTTTGTCCTTGATAGCCTCTATATGTTTGGTTGTATTTTCCTGTATTTCTTTGAGGGATTTATTAGTTTCCTCTTTATATTGCTCTAATAACTGCATAAACATAGATTTAGGGTCATTTTCCTGTGTTTTAGCTGTATTAGAGTATCCACTGTTTTGTTTTGTTTTTTTGTTTTGTTTTTGTTTTTTTTTTGGGGGGGGTTTCTGGTGGAGCCATGAAATCCTGGTTTTTGTTGATTGTGTTCTTATGTTGGACTTTAGACATGTGATTGTCTATAGTTTTGGCTGATTGTTCCTGTATCCTGCTGATTTTCTTGGGTCTTTATGATCAGGACCTGCTGGTCTTCTCAACTAGAAGAACTGCCCAGAAGACTAGATCCACCTGTCTCTGGAGTTTGGAGTAGTCTTCAGGATGAGATAGGTCCAGGGAAACATGAATGGGTGCTGCCATTTCTGATGCAGCCATGTTGGGGTGGTCATTTTGGAAGGCAGGGGTACAGGCACAGGTGCCTTGAAGGGCAGAGGAGTGGGCACAGGTGCTTCGAAGGGCAGGCAAGTGGGTACAAGTGTGTAGGCACGGGTGCCTCAGAAGGCTATTGCAGGGTCACTGGTGTTTTAGGAGGCAGCCTCAGGGCCCTGGAGGCTCAGGTGGTAGCCATGGAGGGACGAGGTGAGGGTGTCTCTGGCGGCTTCAGGAGCAGCAGCAGCTCAGGCTCCTCAAATGGCAGCCAGTAGGGCATGGGCTCCTCAGAGGCCTAGCAAATGCAGGGTTCCTGGAACTCAGGTTTGCCTGGGCCCTGCCATCTTGCATCTAGGATTCAGTATGATTTTATTGTCCACCTGGTCTCCACAGGGGGACCAGTAGAACAATGGTTTGGAGATTGGGCTGCTGTCCCTGGACTCACATGCTGCCCTTCAGAGTTCCTGGAACTGGGGGCTTGGCCTCACTCTAGCATGCAATAAGGTCAGGGGCTCACAGTTCATGGCTCCTGGACTTGGAGAATGGCCATGGCAGGGTGTTGAGGTGGGGGACTGGAACTAATTGTCCCCCACTCCCAGGATGTCCCCTTCAGTCTGGGAGGCACCATAGTTGGTGTTCTAAATCTAGCCACTGTTTACTCATCAGTTTTGCAGTGTCTTATCTTCTTCCTTTTAGATAAAATACACTGATAATGCCATCTTGGAACTCCTGGGAGTAATTTTCATGGAAGAAATGGGGAGGACATTTGACCAAATCACCTTATATATCTATTTATCTGATGTATCTGAAAAAAATATAAATGCCAGTTTGGCTTTTGAGAATATCTAAAACTGACCTCTTGCAGTTATGATTTCAGTCCATGACATTGCCTGTTGAAAGTTTGTAAAGAGATATCATCTGACTATAAAGGTGTGATGAGGGAACAAGAGAGAAGGCTCCCTCAGCATATCAAATGCTGAAATTTTGGAATCTCATTTGCGCGTGTCAACTCAAGGAAGAGAAAGAAGATATCTCAATGAAGAGAGGAAATGGGGCCAGACTTTGAATCTTTTACTGCCCATGCAATGACACAGGGAGTTTTTATTAACATATGAAAGCTTGGCCTTAGCTTAGGCTTGTTCCCAAGTAGCTCACATAAATTAAATTAATCCATTTATACTAATCTATGTTCTGCCATGTGTTACTTCCCCTCAGTTCTGACACAGATGTTCTTTCTCTGTGTCTGGCTGGTGAATCCCCCCAGCCTCCCCCCACCCCTGGTTCTTTCACAGAGTTCCTATATCTACTAGATGTTCCACCCATCCTCTCCTACTTTGCTATAGGCCTTTCAATTCTTTATTAAACCAATCAGAAGGTGATGAAGAAGATGCTTGCAAAACATTGAGCTAGGTGATGCTTCATAAGAATAATAATATCAAAGCTCTCCGATGGTACAGAAGTCCACATCTGACAAAGACAGACTTTACACATTGCAGAAGAGATTATCCGAACACTTTGCCATGAGTACAGCAGAGAAATTATGAACAATAGCCTTCTTCAATCCATCTTAAAGACAGTTGGATTTGCCACTTGTTAGTGGTCAAACTAATCAGAAGAAATAAAGACAGTCTCTACATGTTGTCAAACAAGACATAACTATCTATTGTAAATAATTATACACTGAACCATAAGGTCTCTAACTTCATCTATATTACACTGAAAGCTATGGAAGTCCCCATTTTTCAGACACAGTAACAATGGAACACTTCATTGCTGTAATAGCATTTCTAGATAAGTCCTCTTAAAAATATGTAAGGAATCCCCAGAGTTAAATATCCCAAACAGTAACTGAACTTAAAAGATATCCACAGAACATTATACCTGAAAATTAGTGAATGCACAGTCTTCTCAGAGGTTCAGGGAACTTAAAATGCTTATTACATCTCTCAAACCAAGCATTTATAAATAAAAAACCAGAAATAACCCTGTACATCCATTAATGAGACACTGGGCTAAGATAGAAATGAAAAGATAGAATAACATTAGAAAATGCAGAAATAATTGGTGACTAATTACTATACCTTTGAATGAATAGTGGCTCATTGAATATCTCCAAGAATGCAGTCCTAAATGAGATTGTTATACTGAAAAGTTCTTAATTTTAATTTTATCTTCTTTAGTAAGTAATCTAATGATCCAACTCAAAGGTAGAGAAAAAAGATAAGCCTAACTTAAGTACAGAGTTGATGAGAACTAGTAAATAAGAAAAACAATAAAAATCAAGATAGAATTCATGAAGTAATGACTTATATAACAATATAAATATTAATCAAACAGTTGTGTCTTTTATACATTGAAGAAGATTCTTCACCTTTTAGCGAAACAAAGGGGAGAGCAAAAGATAGAAGACTGAAAACCTAAATTAATAAAACTCAGTACAAAAGGGAGTAGTTAAATCTGACTCCATTGAAATTGAGAAGATTGTCAGGATAAACTTTGAAATCTTATATTCCAACAGGATAGAAAATATAGTAAAGGGTAAATTTCTGAATACTTATGAATGACTAAAAATACAGCCATAAGATCAAACAACCAAAGCAGACCTGTAACACTGACAACACTGAAGCAGTAATTAAATGCCTCACCACAAAGTAAAGTCCAGGGCAGATGGTTTTACTACTATACTCTACCAAACTTTCACCAGAGATCTATTAATAGCCTAATCTTATTGCTTATCCAATGCTCTCATAGAATAGTAAGGGCATTGGCTCATTCTATGGAGCCAATATAACTCCACTACCATAACCGGGTAGCCAGGTGTAGAGGTGCAAACCTTTCCTCCCAGTACTTAGAATGTGAAGCTGGTAGATCTTTCTGAGTTCAGGGCCCTCCTGTTCTATATAGAGACTTGCAGGCCAACCAGAGCTACATACAGAGACACTGTCTAAAACAATAATGACAACCACAAATGAAACTCTCTGGCTTTTTATAATACATTCACTAACCTTCTGCAACATTTTATATATCTTCAGATTCCTAGCTTCGTTCTTCTGGCTTAACCAGACAGTCTTAAATACCTCTTGCTCTCTCTCTTGCTTTTTATAAAACATAAAAACTCTCATCAAAATCCTTTCCATTCTGACATGATCCTGCTAGAGCCCAGTGTCTACTATTTGCTTTTTATAGGCAAAGCAAAAACAAGTTACATTAATGCAAAAAGAAGTTCTGAAACTGCCAAATTCTTTTTCTAAAATTACGTCCCTGTAGCAGATATGGTCCAAGGTCACCTAAATAAACTCTAAGGAACTTAGAACAAACTTTAAGGAACTTGGTGAAACTTCCCTCTTTTCTGTCTCAAGGTGAAGACCATGGTGGTAACATATTTTTCCATAAACAAAGCAGCTTAACAAGCAAACAGCTCTCCATAAGATACATTCTAAAAACTGCAATTTTCTCAGTTAGTGCAAACCATATGGCTGGGTTTCATTTAGTAAAATTAATAAAAAAAATTCCAAAGATTTTGTTCTCCCCCAAAGGATCGAGAAACTTTCAAATTTTGTTAGACTACCCAAGATCATTGTCATACCCAAAGCCTGATAAACTTTAAATGTTTTATTATAGCCTTAAACATTTAAACATTTTTTTAAAACCCGTTTTTGCAATATCAAAATAAAGTGCCCCTTTTGTAGGAGAGAAGTCACAAGGCATAACCATAATCTTAAAAGTCAAAACCAGATTTTAAAACCAGAATTTACCAGTGCAAACAATTTAATTTTTAAAACCAATACCAATTTAAAATAACTCATCCTTTTAACCTAGAAGGAAACGAAAATTATTTGACTAAGGTCCCCCCCTTTTTTTTTTTTTACCCATACCAAGATGACAGTCTCATTATAACCCACACGGTAGAGTCAAGATGGCGGTGAGGCACTGAGGCACTTCACATATCACGTGGTAACCTATATTGTTGCTTTAAACATATGTGTTTATAAACCTTATAAACACATAGGCACACATATACATTTTAAACAAGTTTCATGAGGCCTTTCAGAACAGAAATCAGAAGGTAGACACAAACAAATACTGTACAGAGACATTGAGACAAAATAACACTCACCAGCTGGCCAAATTTCCCGGGACCAAAATTGACTCTTCTGGGGCAGGCCAAACATACTGATTCCTCCTGCATTGGGTGCAGGAGGCATGGGCCCTGACGCCCCAGGAAACACCTAGTGGTGCTCACCGGGACCAGGCAGTCTGGGCCAGTGAAAGCAGGCCTTCCGGAGCTTACAGTGTGGAGGGGTGACAATGCCTTCCCCTGGAGCTGGGAGTACAAGGTCACTGTGCTCCGACCTGTTGGAAGTATGTCTGGCAAAAGTGGGGTCATATCTGGAAGACCCAAGATTGGATCTTCAAATGATCATGGGAAAGGGGGAAATGAGAGACCAAAAGATAAATTAGCACCTATTATTAAGGCCTGAACTAGGTAAAGAAGTACAGTAAGGCCCTGAGGGGAAGGGCCACCTCACTGCATTCTTTCCCCACCCACTAGAGATACAGTTGCTAGGAAACTGGACCATCCCCCTAGGGAGGGGTACCAGGTCATTAATGGTCTGGGAACCTTCCTATAGCCAATCGATTCAAAATGTAGCATTTTGACCAATAGATGCTTGCCAGGCAGGAATTGTCCCTGCCTTGGGCATGCTGGGAGGGACCAGAATCTTTAAATCACCCCACTAACCTGGGCACGGGGGGCTCAGCTCCCACTGCTTCGGTGGTGGGTGTGTGTGGGCCCAAGCTGCAGCTTGTAATTTACAATAAAAAGAACCTCATGTATTTACAGCGGAGTCTGTTTATTCCTGGTCTTTTGGGGTTCGTGAACTGGGCAGAACATGAGGGTTTTATATCTTGGAGTTACAGAGTTGTGAGCAGCCATATGAGTGTTGGGAAGTGAATCTGGGTCATCTAAAAGAGCAGTCCATACTCTTAACCACTGACCCATTTCTCCAGCCCCCAGATTTAATTTTTTGATATCGTTTGAAGTGTAAAACATTTTATGAACATTTTAACATTTTTACTATTTAACTGCACTTTGAAGTACCTTTTGTTGATGAATATTAGAAAGTGTATTAAAGGGCTTGCAACATTTTTCACACCTCTTCAGTATAAAGTCTTAGGTATTTTAAAATTTCTTAGTACAAAAGTCATTGGCATGGTCTTAACATTTGTGTGGTTTCTCTCACAGGTGAATTCTTTGATGCTGTTTAAGACCAGAAGACTGGTGAAAGGTTTTGCCACATTCGCCACACTTGTAACGTTTCTCTCCTGTATGAATTCTTTGGTGTTTCGAACGTGCTGTGTAAGTTCTGAAGTCTTTGCCACATTCGTTACACTTATAGGGTTTCTCTCCAGAATGAATTCTTTGATGCTCCTTAAGGTTTTTAGTACAGTAGAACAGTTTGCCACATGCTTCACATTTGTAAGGTTTCTCCCCAGTGTGAGCTAATTTGTGTTGAGAAAGGTACGAATGAGTAGAGAAGGCTTTTCCACATTGTTCACACTTGTAGGCTTTCTCTCCAGAATGGACTCTCACATGACTAGAAAGTTGCCAGGAAGTTCTAAAGACCTTGTCACATACTTTACACTTGTAGGGTTTCTCTCCAGAATGGATTCCCAAGTGAGTATAAAGATGTGAGGAAGATCTGAAGGCCTTGCCACACACCTCACACTTGAAGGGTTTCTCTTGCGAGTGACTTTTTTGATGCTCCTTAAGCTTTGAGGAATAATAAAACATTTTGCCACATTCTTCACATTTGTAAGACTTCTCTTCTGTATGGACTCTCTGGTGCACAGAAAGTAATGATGGAGCACGGAAGGCCTTGCCACATTCTTCACACCTATAGGGCTTCACGCGTAAATGAATTCTCTGGTGTTTAATAAGGTGTGAGTTCCAATCAAAGGCTTTGCCACAGTCTTGACATGTATAGCATTTTGTTCCTGGCAAGAAAAAGTTGAAATATGAATATAAGCAGAGCAACATTCTTTGTGTTTACAATGCTTTTAAAAATGAAGACATTTACTCATACTTAAATTTTTCTATACATATGATGAGCTACATTCAAATTTCTACACCTGTATTCTTTGAAACATAATTCAAAAACACAATAGGTAGAAATCATCGTGTAACCTTCCTCTGACATAAAATCATGACAACATAGAACATGGAAACAAAGGAATATTAATCAAAGTCAAACATGCAGGAAGGCATAACACCATTGATCAAAAAAATTCTTAAGAGCATTATGCTAATAAAAAAGGCCCATTAAAAATATAAAGATTTTATGACTAGATAAAGTATAATAGTCAAACTTGGAGAACACATGTATACACAATGTATATATCCTAAGTGCGGCTTTTAGTTTTAGAAGGTATGAATGTTAGACTACACAATAGGAAGACTGTGTATAATAATATTAAATAATATTTCAAAGATATACAAAGGAAGCATTATGTATATTTAATGAAGAAAATTAGTACCTGAAACAATTTATGGAAAATAAGTCAAGTTCACCTAGAAATGACAGAGCTTAGGAGTCACTGTAAACACAAGCTGACCTCAAGGGAGTAAAAGCCAAAGTGTAGGAGACTCAAAGGTATTTCAAATATCTGAGAGATGCCCTCCTTCGACAGCAAAAGACAGAACTGGAGGTCCTTAAAAAATGATTTTTACTGTAATGTAGCATCTATTGACATGGTGAAACCTTGCTCTCTGTTAGATCTCTGACCCCCGCCTCTATCCTGTGAGCCCCTAATTCCAACAAACCTGGGTGCACGGCAGCTGCTGCTTGTCTCTTCACATCTGAAGGCTCTTGTCTTTGCTCCAGAAATGTCACGAGGTATGGCTTACAGGAAGCAAGACCTGTTTGTGGAAAGGGGGGACAACACTGTTAGTGTGTTCTCCTGGAAAATAATGTGTCCTGTTCACCCATGTGTGTAAAGAATGAGAAGCTACAGTACAGGATTGTAGAAAACCAGTTCTTGTTTCCTGACAAGAACAGCAGAATGCTTAGGAGGAATTTACGATATACAGGCCCTGAGCTTCACTCCACCCATTTACAAGGAAAAACATTAAAGCTGAAGAGTGTGACATTCTCTACAACATATATGGCCCCTGCTCCTGCCTCTTAATTTCTAACATAACCACTGATACTTGTAACAAAACAAAATTTTTAAAAAGGTCACAGGCACAAGGAAATAAGATAGTTCTAAGGTATAACATAATCTCAATTTTCCTTAAATGTAACCCAATGAACCTCATTGTTGGAAGAACAAGTTTCTATATGATAGTATACAGTGGGAGCAAGTTTTATATTGACAATAAATTAAAAATTCACCATGGAAGTATTCCTCACCCAGGAACTCAAGGTTGCTGAAATTCTCCAGCATCACATCCCTGTACAAATTCCACTGAGTGGGGCCTAGGCATTCCCACTCTTGTGCTGAGAAATAAATGGCCACATCCCAGAATGACAGCAGATGCTGAAATAAAGAAAACAAATGAACACTACACATTATGTTAATTAAGACTGTCAATAATAACACAAATAGCAAGAGGCATCATGTACTTCTCTGTACAAATCTAAAGGTCACCCAGCACGAGTGGAGAGCTGGAGGTGCTTCTGACATAGGGAAGTAAATATCCCTAAAATAGTTCTGATGTGGTGCTGGGATGGTACAGAAGACTCATCATTAAGAAAAATAAATGGCAGAAGAACCCAGAAAGTAGTTTTAAGGATCATAAAAAAGAGAACAAATGCATCTGCAAAACAGAATTTGGATCGGTGTGTTAGCACACGCCTTCAATCCCAGCACTCGAGATTTAGGTCAGCCTGGTCTACAAAGAGAGTTTCAGGACCACTAGGGCTGTTACACAGAGGAACTCTTAAAAATCAAAAATCAAAATCAAAACAAGAGATTAATTCCCAGCACACACATGGCAGCTTATAACTGTCTGTAACTCTAGTTGTAGAAGATCAATTTGTTAGACATGCACACTAGTAAAACAACCATACACATAAAATAAATAGTTTGTACCCTGGTGACTAAGAATTCAGATATATGAGCCTATGGGACGATTCTTATTTATTCTACCACAATCATCATAGCTGCCTTGACAAAAGGATCCTAGATATGTACAAGTCTATTCATAAATCTTAGTAATTTTTACTAAGGGCAAATTCAGAGAAACAAACAATATGAAATCAAGTAACTATACTTAGAACAGATTACAATGTCTGTTTTCCACATAATAGAGAGGAATATGAAAATGTAAATAGAATGGATCCTATCAATCAGAGTGAGGTCTGTTGGCTACTTTATAGTAAGCCTAAGAATATTCCAGAACACATCCCTGAATATTTCTTATAGTTCTTACTTAGGAGCTATGTTCTTCCACTGCATTTTTAGAAGCCACAATTCTTTCTTGTGTCACTGCCAGCATGAGCCCCTCACAGTTACTTTTCTCCTTCTTCATTGTAGGTAGTTCCTTAGGTTTTTTTTTTTTAACTTTTATTAATTACACTTTATTCATTTTGTATCCCTCCATAAGCTCCTCCCTACTCCCCTCCCAGTCCCACTCTCCCCCCTTTCTGCATGCATGCCCCTCCCCAAGTCCACTGATAGGGGAGGTCCTCCTCTCCTTCTTTCTGATCTTAGTCTATCAGTTCTCATCAGAAGTGGCTGCATTGTCAGGGTTCTAGGTTATCTCCATGAATAGTCCTTGGTTGGAGTATGAGTCTCTGGGAAGTTCCCTGTGTTCAAATTTTCTTGTTCTGTTGCTCTCCTTGTGGAGTTCCTGTCCTCTGCAGCTCTTACTATTTTCCACTTCTTACATAAAATTCCATTCACTCTGCCCGTCAGTTGGCCATCAGGCTCAGCATCTGTTCCTTAGGTGTTTTAGTTGTTTTTGGTTTTGTTTTGTTTTGTTGCAGCTGTCCACTTGAGTTTCTGAAAAATTTCACAATCTTTCTCCTTTCTTCAGCATTGTAAAGACATGGGGTCTTGTAGAGACATACGCTCTACTAAATACTCTTCGTTTCCATGACATTGTGCCAAAGACTGAGAGCTGAATGGATTTCCTAACTCATGCACATAAAGCTTGTTGATCCACCCAAAGGGATTTAAGATGACACTGTCATATCCTAAGATTCCATTAAGATACAACCATTTCCCATGGAAATGCCGGGCACCTATGCCTCCCTGAGGATGAGATGTGCCAGAACAAACCTTTGTGAGAAACCCACAGACTGCTGATTAGTGTCAGCACAGCAGAAGGTGGCAATCCAAAGAAGAGTGAAAAAGGGGGCTGGGAACACAGCATAGTGGAGACATTCTTGCTTAGATGCAGAAGGCAGGTGTTCAATTCCCAGCAAGAAGAGGTGGACAGAAGGAAAAGTCACGGTGCCATGCTGGCTCATGCCCACTCATGTGTGGACTAGCAAGACAGGATTTGCTGGATACTCTACAATTTTCTGGCTCCTTCCTCAGGATATTAAGAGTAGAGCAGACATTTAATTTCTGTCTCATTTCAGCATAATCAACGGCCAAATTCTTTCTTGTCTCCATCAGAAAGCCAATGGGAAAGACATGCCATCTTGAATGGCCAATGAGAAGAGGCTACAGTCCAAGAGACAAATTCCTACAAGATGGTAGAGAAGCCACTGAAATTCAAGCTGGAGGGATCACTGTGATTCTTAAAGCCTAATGTCAATAAGAATTGTAAGGCCTATGAATAGAAAATATGGACAGGCAATAGAAAAAAGAAAGAAAAACAATGAAACTACAAATATGCTGTGAACATAGATCTATGGTAATGGTCTGAATGAAAATTCAGAAAAGTACACAAAAAGTCAGAATAATAACTGCAAATGTAAGTAAGAACATTAGAAATCAAACATGGGAATAAAGTATGAAAAGCACAGAATGTGGCTGAAAATGCTGTCCTTAAGGCAAACAATAAAGATCCAACACCACATGTGGCAGAAGGAAGGTTGGACAACAAAAAGGCTGCCAGGTGACAAGTACATGAAAACATTTAAGAACTCTAAAGGCATCAAAGCAGCTGCTGAAACTCATAACCAAACTTTGGGCAGAGTGCAGGGAATCCTATGAAAGAAGGGGGAGATAGTAGGACCTGGAGAGGACAGGAGCTCCACAAGGAGAGCAACAACCAAAATATCTAGGCACAGTGGTCTTTTCTGAGACTGATACTCCAACCAAGGACCATGCATGGAGATAACCTAGAACCCCTGTACAGATGTAGCCCATGGCAGCTCAGCATCCAAGTGGTTTTCCTAGTAAGGGGAACAGGGACTGTCTCTGACATGAACTTAGTGGTGGGCTCTTTGACCCCAACCCCTCGTCCAGAAAGACTCACATAGTACAATAAGAGAAACAATTCTCAAAACTATCTGTACACACACAGCATGCCATGCATCTACACAAAGAGTGATTCTGATAAACCTCACGCTGACAAATTCAAAGATTGTATAAGAATTGAAACTACACACTAAGAATTAAAAGGACACACATGGTATATACCTACTTATAAGTGGATATTAGCCCTATAACATAGGATAAACATACTAAAATCTGTAGTCCTAATGAAGCTAAACAACCAGGAGGACCCTAGGGAAGATGCT